CACAATTACGACAAGCATTCTGCGCACTTTCAGCAAGACAAGCACTGTCGACATTATAATCACTATGAAAATCAGGACTCGGAAGGGGGGAATATCTAAAGCGGTAACTCCGACAGAGATCTGATTTTGCTATCCAAAGATAATCCGGCAGGTGCGGAAGTAAGCAGATCTAATACAAACATCCCCCGAAAATTATAACAGTTAGATGCAATAAACGAATAGTACTAACAATCTAACTAGGGCACGCTTCTGAGTCATGTAATACGCACTATTCCCGTCTAAAGAAATTCCCCTACAAGTTGCAGTAGCGTGATGAAACACAATAGGGGAATTCCGGGTTGACCAATGGTCAATAAGAATGATACCGTGGGTGAACTTCTGCATTAGGGTTAAAAAAACAGACAGCATCCTATAGAACTGCATCTAGGTACAAAATAACTTATCAGGTAAGCGATTTGATTTTACAGTCAAAACCTGCTACTGAGGTGGGAGCTAAACAAGGGAAACAATATGTAAGCTAAGGGAGAAAAGTTTGGACTCCGGCGGGGACTCCTGATCCAACAAGGGCTACTAAATAGCATGAGACTTCCCACACAAAGCCTCCGCAGACAGATGGCTGAGAAGCAACAGACAACCTGGTTAAAGCGGACTTCAACCTGGAGGGAGAATGCGCGCAGATGCTTGCGCCAAACACTGGGAGAGGATTCTGAGATGTCTAGAAAACTTTTCGCTGTTAACACATTAGCCCCATGGCGACGACCCAACACCACTAGTCGAAGGAATTTTGAAGATCTGTGCAGAAAATCAGAGATGGTAGAAAACCGGCAACGAATGAAGGATACGCTCAAGTCCCTACCGGAAACGTCCCTGACTATTTATACCGACGGGTCGGCGATAGATGGATGCAGACAGGGAGGCGCTGGAGTCGTGATGACGAAGGGAAGCTGGAATAAACAGTCAACAGTTGCAACGTCCAGGAGAAGGGGCGCATACTACAGCTCATTCTTTGATGCCGATGCTAGCTCTACTGACGGCGGCGGAATGGCTAGAGCACCCACGCGAGGATTGTAATTCTGCTAGGATCCTTACTGACAGCAAATCCGCTGTAGATGCCCCACAGAACTTCGGGACAGAAGAGGACATGAAGAAACCGTTGGAAAAACAAGTGATGAATGTCCTAGAGAGAGCCATAACAGGAAGGAGTGTGGAAATCGCGTGGATTCCCAGCCACGTGGGTATCCCCCGGGAACGAACAAGCAGACGCTGAACCATCAGCGGCCAGGGCTAAACCGGACGCTAGACCGACATCCTTTGCGGCAACGATTAAAGTAGCCAGACGAATGATCCCCAGGCTACAAATGATACATTAACGCGGCCGAAGAAAGTATACGGCCCCCATCAACTGGGATGAAGAAGAGAAAATGACTCGGCTAGGTAAAACGAATCTAGCGAGATTTAGGAGCAGGCATTGTCCAAAGCTGAATCACATCAGGAGGCGGTACAAGCCACAGTCCGGTATATGAAGAAGATTCGAAAGTCGTGGTTCTAAACCACTTACCTTGCAATTGATCCTGCAAAAACAACAACCACTAACACCACCATTATTAGGGGGAACAGCGAAGACTTCGGCAGGCCTTTGGTAATACTGCAGAGGCATGTGCGCGTTTACCTCCCCCTTGTCTCTCCGTGCTCATCATATTCCAGTGAGATGAGTGACGCGGTTGCCTATATAGCCCCTATCTACGCGAACCACAACGGGCGTGGCCGAAAAAGAGTTCTGGTGCAAAAATATCGACCTCAAAACAAATGCATTCAGACAACAGGTTAGGGGACAGCAGTGCCGTTGGGGTCAGCACCGTTTTGTGGAACCACAAAAGAAAACAGATGGTTTCAGGGTGAAGTGATAAAACCTGCAGCTAGACATTTGATGCGACGGTCAATCTGTCCAAGTGCCATCCACACACACACACAC